ATGGAGCCGTGTTCCTAGCTTCTGGCCAGCCTGCCATTTAGTCTCACTCGTGCTGCTTGTTGTCTTTGGATGTGATAGACTTATTGAGTGTTAAAAGTCAGGGAAGCTGTTTCCTGTTTATTATCTCAGAAAATCTGGTTATTGATTTACATGCCCAAACATCTAGTCCTGTAACAAACATTAAATACTGAACTACAAAACCTTGAGTAGCTTTCTGCCCTAATTGTATGTACAATGTGATTATTTTTATGAAGGTAGTAGCACTTACACAGTGATCAGAAGCCTGTTATGGTTGTTACTGGACAAACCCATAGAGAGATGTCCCTCTCCTGCAATTGGAAATATCTGAGATGTTTGAGAGGTAGGAAGCTTTGTTTGAACAATGTGGGAACTGAAGCACACTTATTAAATACTTCACCCGGCATCACCCAGGCAGCCTGTGGTGGGTCTGGAAAACACTTCTGCCTTCAGTCGCATGTCTCTATCTTAACAACAAGGCTCCTGTCACTTCTGTATGCAAACCTAATAGATATACAGCCCAGTGACAGTTACTGATTAACAAAAAATGCTGTTATGCTGTATGAAGTCTTGGAGTATTTTACCTTTTCATGTCTGCTGTGGTGTCCTTCCCTCTCAGCAAGACAGAAAGGGAGTAAGATCATCCAGATAGCAGTGTCCTTACTAATGAGAAGTTCAGCCAACCATGTGCTACTTTTTCCATCACTCTGTGCTGCAGTTATCTGCAGAAGAGGAATAGAAAACTAATGTCTAATCTTTAAAAAGGGCTTTGGAAGATTACTTCAACCTTTACTCTGCCCCAGCTGAGCTCTGCTTAGATCCTAAAATGATCTAAATAACTTTTGTTTCAAAGATGGACGTTAATGTGCCATGCTGGAACCATGCAAAAGCAGCCAGTAGGAGATAGCTGGCGAAAGAGATTTTCACATGAAAACAAAACTGGAGAGTGTTGCCTTCTCAGATTTCTTTCTTTTTCTTTTTTCTTTTCCTAACAAAGAGAAGTGGAACTGTGCATGTTGGAACAAACCAGTGGGAGCAAGTGAAGGTCAGACAAGGAGGACTGTTCCTTGAACATTAACACGAAACACTAACTCCTAATTCAGTGTAGGCTCAACTCTCTCCCTATGTCATTTCGACTTCATGGGCTCCTGAAGAATTACTTGGATCTCGATTTTCACTGAAACTTTTAGGAGAGAGTAAATACCTTTTCAGCAGTCTGTGGGGATTCCACGTGGATCAGCAACAGGCTTAATTAGTTGTGCTGCTGGAACACGTTTAGTCACAGTCTCCTAAGACACTCTTGTTCCTTCAGGAGTGTCCTGAAAATACGACCTGAGTTTAGGGTGGAAGAGGATGATACTCTATAACCTTGGGATACTGGATTGCACATACAGTCTGACACTGCATTTAAACCCCAGGAGTCACCTGGTGGGAAAGAGAAGGTGTAAAAAAGCCATTTTCCAGTAAAGAGTGTTTCCTTTGGCATTGTAGTCAGTGAGTGGGCAAAGGTTATGCAATTGGAGAGTTTTTTCTTTAACCTCAATTCCTACCATAAAAAATGGTTGATTTATAACCCTATTTATTAGGTTTAAACTCATTTACCTGAACATTCCCTTCAGTTTGGACTGTGCTGTCATACAGAACAGAACAGATGCCCCATCCAGATCACGCTCTCTGCCCTTTCAGAGCTGGAAGAACTCCCTCAGCAGGTGAAATGGAAATTGCAGAACCTGGGCTACTCCCTGGCTTGCACACCTCTGTTGTCAAGTAGTCAGGAAGGAGAAGCTGGCTTATTATTAACCACAACAAGATGTAAGAAGTGGGCTGTGCAACGCTGGCCTGCTGTAATATTCCAGGATATTTCAGTGCGATTTGTCTCAGCTGAACACAAAGTGCCTCTGGCTGCTTCACTTCATTAGGTATCTACACACAGTCTGGATGATATTCCTAATGGATCAAGGTTGCTCTAACTGTAATAGAAACTTAATTTGCTTTCATGTATATACTTTTGGATTCAAAACACTGTCTTTCCTCTTCCTCAAACAAAGGCAGTATAATGAAAATAACTACTACTTACCAGGTATAGAGGAGAGTGGGAACAGTGTTAGCTGTTCTCCCATCACACCACAGCCCTTAGAGATAGGAACTGGGGAGTGCCTGCCACCACTCTCAGCTTGATTGCTCCATACCACCATAGGAGTCAAAGGCACTTAATACTTCACAGGACGTGTTTATGGCATCAATCTCCAGGGCACCATGTGAATTAGAAAAAGGATCAGGTGTGTACCTGTCATTGCTATTAATTACCTTGCCATTGAATAGAGACAAAGCAACATAAAATGGCCTTAGGAAATATTTAGGCTAGCTGGAACATAAGGTTAAAGGCTTCTAATTTTCTTTATGATGAATGGTCCCAGGGGTGCTTGGAGGGAGGGATGAGGCATGGAAGAGCAGTTCTTTCTCTTTTGGGTTATAATATGGCTAGCAAATTTTCAGAGTGTAAACTAACTGCAAACTTCCAGCACCTTCCCATCTGCAGTGCAGCTGCAGTCCCTCTCCCTGATGTTTGCACAATATTGCAGCATTCTCTTGTTGCTGGAAGAACAGAAGTAAGCTGAGTGAAGCAGGACCAGATATTGTGCCTCTGTATATTTTCCTGATAAGTGTATATTGCAGATGCTTTTTTCTTTAGCATCCATAAAGTTAAATTATTCACAGCCAATTTCACTCTAAAGAGCTCTCATGTACATGTCAAAAATAGAACATATTTAAATGAAAATGAAATCTTGTTTTTAATTTATACAAGGGTTAGTGCTTCTGCTCCTAAGAGATGTCTTTGAATTACGTGAGAAGGTTACCTTGTGCCTTCTAACATGCACCTTTATCTGACAGCTGGTCCCCCTCAAAGCCACTCTTTCCAGCTCAGTGATTTCATTGTACAAAATAATATGCTATGAAAATATTGTCTTTTTTAAGACTTCATTTTCTTTTTAATTCTTGGGTCTTTATGTGGATAAATCTATGTACCTATAAACAAGCACTTCAGTAGTGAAATAATCTTCCCCACTACACTGAACTCCAGGGTCCTTGTAGATCCTAAAAAACTATTCTAAATTCTAAAATACATTAGAAATAACTGTGCAAAGAACTGGTACTCTGACTGTGAAAGTATCTAAGGTCAAGGGGAGAAGGGTCTACCAAGTAATATAAGGCAGCATTTTGCTACTCAAAATGCTTGAATATTCACAATGCAGAATGTCAGCTAATCCCTTTCCTCCTCTACTCTTTTCTCTTCCTCTTTTTCCATCAGCAGTTTTTAACTAATAATCTTGAGGGCCCAGTGATTAAAAGGTTTTTCTTGTGAGCAGTGTGAAGACACCACCATCCTTCACACTACGCCATGAACATCAGCGGCGATCATCTCTATGAAAATGTGCACATTGTGTTAAATGCTGTCATTTATTTCAGTGGTTTTATTGCCATAAAACATCAGTGACAGTTCAATTAAAAGCTTAAATTTTTTGTACTGCAAAGTAGAAATATTTATGAAGGAGCTTGTCAGAGGCAGAATATTAAAACAAAACAGGTGCTTTTGCAGAAACACAAATAAAATGTCTAACAGTAAACATTAAACAAATCAATTATTAATCACGGTTCTTTTCATTCCGCTTGAGTTGCCTTCAAAAGATTTTGTGTCTAACAGTCTATGTAACATTACCTCATCCCACCACTTGGTTTTGCTGTTTGTATCCTGTGGTGCAGCTGGATAGATTATTTGCTTCTTCAGAAAAAATCTTGGGACCAAAATAAGATGAAGGCTGTAAACCAATGGGGTCAAGTATCTGAATTCAGTCTTTGCCATTTCCTTGGTACAAGCAAATTCTTACTGTTAATGTCAGTATTTCATCACTGTTACTGACACCAAGCACAGGAACTTCATTACAAACCTTTTGGTGGACTGTCAAGTGGCATGATGTTTGCTGGCTTTGTCTCATGTTTCCTTTGTTAGAATGAAATCAGATGAAGTTGTCTATCATCAGAAATACCTTAGGTGTCTTACCCAGAGATGTCTGGGAGGCTGGAGTGAGAGGTGGGGTTGCAATGTCACCCCTTAGTGAGGCAGACTCTACCTTTTGCTTCATCAGGGCTGAAATTGCTCCCTTTGGCCCCCTTTTCCTTACCTCTGCTGGCAGATTCTGCCACGTTCAGCACTCTACTTTTATGTCAACATCTGAAAGTTTCTAGGCCCTTGACTTACTGCAGTCTGTAGGTTTCCTTCAACTCAGTTCCTTTCTGGTGATATCGTTGTGAAATTTACACCCTCCTGCCTCTTTAATACAACACTGGGGGTTTATTACAGAAAGCTATAAACTACATATTATTTATGGATTGCTCACATACATTATGCAAAAGTCTTGCTATTGGTTCCACTGAAAGACTGGGTTGTAACAGGGTGCAGGTTACAAAATCTTTGCTATATTTTTTGGAAGGAAAAATACATGTTTAATTGACTCTCAGGTTTCTGATTCTCTCCAGACTTGTGAGTGCACACCTACCTTTGTACCTAGTGTTGAGCAGCAAAGCATCGTCAGCTGTGCTGAAGTTACCTGAATCACAGTAGGTGGCAATATGGAAAGGAAGCAATCATGGTCAGTAGCAGGAGGGTGAGAGATGTTTTACTTTTTATAACTTTAAGAACATACTCCCAGGATGTCCAGACTTCCCTTGGTGAAGGGAAGCATAATGCTAGTGAGAGGACACATGTTAGTAAAACTTACAAAGAGACATCAGGCAGGAGTTGTTTCCCTTGTGCAGGGAAAGATGGAGAACCAGGAAGAGCAGGCCAGGTGTGTGCCATCACCTATTAAAAGCTCTGAGGAGGTGGGGAAGGCACCTGAATTGCAGGGAGGCAGTTTTTTTGTTGCTGTAGGTGAATGTGGGTATTTGGCAAGGGGTACTGGGCTAAGATGTTAATACTTGGTATGGAAATCTGCTTCATCCTAGTAGGGGTTAACTTACTTCCTGCAGCTAGCTGAAAGGTAATGAAGAGAAATGGATTAACCATGAGACTGTGCACATCTGTGATGTAATCAAACCAGAAGTGGATTATAGGTATCTGCTTTGCAAGAGGTGAGGGTAAAAAAAGAAGACAGCTTGTTTGGGGAGGAAGTCAGAAGTATGTCTTTCTGGAAAGCTTTTCCACATCGCTTTGGATCAAAGAAAACAGATTCATGTGGACACTAGGTGTGGTTGGTCTACTAAAGGTAAGTGAATTGTTCCTGCTGTTGTGACAACTCCCCCACCCTGCAGAGAGGAAGGTGATGAGGGCAGGTGGTTTGGCATAGTTGGAGACTGAGGTTGAACATTCGAGAAAGAGGAGTTTGCTTACATGTTGGTATGTGCCTTAGAATGGAGTTTTCTTTGTGTGACCCCTGACTTGATCTGGAGCCCTTTGCCTTCTGCCCTTTATAATAAAACACAAGATGAAATGCTATCTAAAGGCTTTATTCCCACAGTTAAACTCTATGATTTCCTGCCAGGTCTTTTCTGAAACATTAGTTTATCTCCATAGTCTTACTCTTTCCACATCTTTACACTGATGACAGTGTTATTGTTGCAAAACTTAGCGTGCCAGGTAAATATCCTCTGTTTCACTGACCTACCATTCTGTTCTACTGTAATCAGCTGCCAAGTGACTTTGTTTTCTCCCTCCAAACTCCTAATGGAGCTATTCGTGTTTTTTCCAACAACTTGTTAAACTCAGTGGGTGAACTTGGCTGGCAGAAGTCCCGTTGGTTGCAGTGGAGGCCAGATTCCACATATTACTGTTTCTCTGTTAATTAGTGGATTTACGCTTTTTCCCTTTCCAGTCTTTACAAACAATGGAAAGAACTGCAGTGGGCGCTTCTCGTGCTGTCTGCTGCCTAGGAGAGTGAGGGCAGAAATTAAACTGTTTAAAACACGTTTATTCTTTGTAATGTAAATTTGATGACTTAATTCTAGATACAGAATGGCTAGCGAGTTGGTCTGCCAGCTTTGCCAAGATTGCAGTACATGAAAATAATGAGTGCCTCAAATATAGAGGGCTCCAGTAACTCAAACAGCTGAAACAATTTTGTTGTAACTCTTTGATTAGATGCTCAACACTCTGTATCCAGTGCTGGCTGTAATAGCAATCCTGTGCATCTCAAGTTAGCAAAGAAATGGAGCTAATTCTTAACCTATGTTAAGAAGCAGAGCATATTTTCTCTTAATTCTTCCTTCCAGGGAAGGTTTTACACTAATGCTGCGACTTTTTTCTTTTGCTGAGCTCCCCTTAACTTTCAAATTATAGAAATACTAATCTTTCTTCTGCTCTAGTGCCCCAAATTTTTGCATACTGGAAGCCACAGAGAGCAAGTTTTGTGACTCAAAACACAGGCAAAGCTCTGGTTTTGCTAGTGAGGGAAGGAGGAGAAAAAAATAGCCCTTGTCAGAGTAGCCCCTGCTTGGTTAGAAATAGAACACCCCATAGTTCTTCCTCAAGTGTTCCCTCTAGCTTCTTACGCATTTTATTCATCTACTTTAAGTCATTCAGTAAACTAATGTGGAAAAGTCGTGTGCCAGCTCAGAATCATTTATCCTATGGAAAACATGATCAAAACTCCCTCAGGGTGTCATTAACCTTTGTATTGATTCAATCAAAGAGCCTCACGCGATTTCATGATTTCTCAGACTGCTGTGAGGTGTGAAAGGAGGGCAGTTGAATATTATTAATCTTGTAGCAGTGTAATTAATTCAGCAGTGTTTTGGTAAAAGTGATACAGAAAAGATACTCTGCTATAATAGGTTGTACTTTTATAATTATAGAACATTATACTGGATTTTCTTTCATCTTGCCTCTGCCTTTTAAAGTTTGGAAGTTATCATAGTAAAAAGTATGTCCTTCTCTCCCTTCCTTCCCTAATCAGCTGCTGTTTTAATTTCCCATCAGCACTTGCTTGACCAGCATGAAGGATATTTGTTCTTGTCTTGTGACATTTTGGATCATGTCTTATTAAATAAACGAATAAAGGAAAGCCTGTTGTGCATTGCAAAGTGTTGAATTCATGTCTCTGGATCCCAGCAGGAGAACAGTAATGTTACAGTAATGCTACAGGGCAAGATGTCCACTAGAATGAAAAGGAATAGTGGGCTAAAATGAGTAGATACCAGTATGTGCCTTTACTAATGCTGCTGCTGCTCCTTCACCACCATGTTTTTAATGCAAAGGCCTTTACTGGTTGCTTGAACCTATCAAATACTGTATTTAGGTAGTCCTATCTCTGTTAGAGAAGGCTTGCTTTACAAATGTTGCCTGCAGTAAAAGTAAACTCCTTTGGTGGAGTGTGCCTGGGGAACAGTGGTGTGATCTAGTTAACAGAAACAGCTGTTTCTAGTACTTCCACAGACTATCAGAGCCATAAGCTATAGTGTACCCTCCTTCTAGCAGAAGATATAGCAGAGTCTAATTGGTCAGAAATTATCTAAAGTATGAATTGGCTACAGCAATAGATTTACTCCTGTAAATTCTAAATACATCATAGAGATCACTGCAGAAGGTTGCTTTGAATTTCCTGGCTTCCTTTCAGAGAGCTCTCACTTAGGGGCTTCCTTTCAAGTCCGCTATATGCAAGTTTGGATTATGGCCCCATGTTGTGTAAGAGGTGAGCAGCTACAGGTCCTAGAAGTCTCTGCCTTGCTTCTGGAAGTTGTGAGGTTTGTTGTTGTCATCTCAGTCCTCGTTGCTCTGCCCTAAAACCAAAGAACATTCCTAGCCCTGGGAATATTTAGTTGTCAGTAGAGTGTGTTCATCGTACTTGGTGGGGTTTTTAATGAGGGCTTTTTAGAGGGGAAAAAAAAAGCAACACAAAGCCCCAACCCAAACCTCCCTCACTATTGTGTGTGATTTATGGTGTCAGAGGAGCTAATTAAAAATAATAAGGAGGAGACCTCACAGAAGAGTATAATTGGAATCCAAATGGCAATCTCAGTTTCGGCATTTCTTCTACTTTCTCCTCAATTTTGTAGCTCTTATTTGAGCATTGTGGGGTGAAATTTATTTTATAATATGCCTAAACTAGAACTCAGAATCCAACAGTGATCTAAGTATAGGTTAAGTATAAACTCTTGTAGTTTGTTTCTGCAGAACTGCAAACTTTTCAAGGTGTTTTTAACTATTTGTGTACTTCTTTTTGAACTTACGTACTTGAAAAATAAATTTTACAGTAGTTTTTGTGTTTTATGACAGCAATCTAAATATTATCTTTAGAAAACTTTCTATTCCTAAATCATTAGCAATAGCTGCTCCTTACTTTCCTTGTTGCAATTCATGTATAATCTCGCTGTTTGTCTTTGCAAGCCTTTTGTTTGTGCTTTATACAGAGGAACGTTAGGTGGTTTGTGGACTGAAAAGACAAGGTTCTATCCTCTTTACTTTAGTTCTGAGAGTCTATTTTAGATGTTTTACGAACAGAGAAAGCTGTATTTAACAATGCTAGTAAAACAAACTGAGAAGCTCTCGGGCATGTAGACAGAATACCACAGGTTATAAATATCTGCCCAAGACTTATTTCAGACGAGAGAACAGTGTGGACTCTTTTGCAGTTAAACAAGAAATTCTTGTGGCCAGTGGTAAATGATCCAGCTGGCATTTTGATGAGCTCTAGATGAGAAAGTTGCAGTCATGGCTTTTATTGTCATTTATACAAGCTGTCCAAGTGTTTATGCCACATCCCCATGGTAAACAAAGAACGATGTATATTTTGGTTCTGGTGGGTTTGCTGCTACAATGAGTGCATGTGCTGGCTCAAAAAAGAAGAAGAGACATTGAAAGGTTAGTATTTAAAAACATTACTTAATAAGAATAACCCTTTTTCATCAGTACAGTAAAAGGCAATAGCGGGCTTTTGCAGTCTGTGGTCTTGTCAGTGCTTTCTCCTTTGTGATAACACTCTGATGCCTTTCACATTCAAAGATTCAGTAAAGGTGTCCATTAACCTCAAAGCCCTTTCATTCTGTTAGTTGTCCCCCTCAGCACTTTCCTGACTTTTTGCCCTAGTAAGGCTGTGTTTTGGGCACAACTGGAACCCTTCTCTCATGCACTCCTTGCTCTCCACTGCCTTTGTAATCCCATAAAGGAGCAAACTTCTCTTCTGAGGACAACCCCAACTAAAGTTTAAATGTGTTACATGGATGAGGAAGGAGGAGGTAATGGCAAGCTGGCAACTTAGCTTGTCCCACAGGGTATACCACAGTGTGCAGCGTGCCCTCCAATCGCCATTTGACTTGGTGTTGTTATCACCCAGGAATGGAGTGAAGGACAGTGGGCAGAAAAGAAGGTTGGGTGGGATTTTCTGAGCCATACTTGTGCTTCTGCCCTTCTCACTCCAGAAAGATTTGCAGCATCACTTGTCCACTCTGCTTTGCAGGAGAGCCATGCTGTAGCTCAGCTCTGTTTTGTTATAAAGCTGAACTTAGAAATTTACTTTTTTTTTCCAGGTTGATGTCAGAATGAGTGTGACCTGCAGTCTCCTGAGGACTGTATATAATACAGTGTGTTGTCACTTGTCTGTGAATAACATACTGCTAAAGTACCTGCTGCGCTCCGAGGCAAAACCTGGTGTTTTTCCCCTTAAGCAGGGTGGGGATGTAATAAAGAATTTAACCTACCAATTTGTGCATCCTCTGTATATCCGGAGTGTCAGGTCATCTATGTAAGAGATGTGAGTAATAAAGTCCCCAAACGTTGTTACCTGTGGGTATCCATTAAAAATCCTGTGCTGATAAATCAACTTTTTGTACAGTGTGAACTGAATTCCATAGCTGCTTCTTCCATCTATTCTATCTGAACACAGTCAAACCAGTATTGTCTTGCACTGCCTGTATTCAGAAATGTACCAGAATAACTGGCAAGCAGGAGCTGAAATATTCATGCTTATTGGCTTTGAGGCAGTGAAGATTTCACTCTTAAATTGGTACTTTCTTGGCGGTGTGGTCAAAAGCTAGCTGGCCTATTGTGAAGTTTGGAGTATATCTTCCTTGTCCATCTTATGTGGGTAGCTCTCACCATTGTGAATTGATGAGAGATCATGGGAGCGTGATTAGTGTGGTAGCTGGCCAGAACTAATGCCCCAAAGGGGGGATGATGTGCACCTGAGTACAGCTTAGAGCATAGCTGAGCACAGTTATGCAGAGGGAACTTGCTTGTGTCTGCAGTAGATGATGTGGATGCAAGAAATGACTC